CTACTTGCAGGTAGCCCACTGTGAACTTTGGACTGGGCCACATTCCGAACATTTTGGGATGGGCTACTTTTGTTTGTAAAGTAAATACTTAAGCTTCTATAGAATTGTTTAACTTGGCACAAATCAATCAGCTTAGGATGAAAAAGGTTTATAGAATATGTCAGTCACGGATTAGGTTATCCTTTGTTATGGGATTTTAAGATTATCATATGAAAAGGGTTTAAAGGCAATCATTGATTATGTTTTCATGGATTAAGGTTTCTGGTGGGTGGGGGACACCCCTCCCATATCTGACTTTGTGTATAAAAGACCCGTTGTAATTCCCAATAACACACATCACTTCTGCACTAGACGGGAATCCAGTCTCTTTCTTTCTCTCTCTCTCTCTCTTTCTCTCTTTCTTCTCCCCCCAATTGCCGATACTGTCTCCACCTTTGGGGTACCCTGAACCCGGCTGGAGCTGGTCTCCAGCAACTGATTGAGCCTAGGAGGTCGAGGCTGCAGTAAGCCACAGTCCTGCCATTGCACTGCAGCCTGGGCAACAGAGTGAGACCCCCTACTCAAAAAAAAATTGTGTATTGATGGCATACATGTATGCATGCGTGTGTGTGTGTGTATATAAAATAAAGCCATCTATATAAGCATCTATATATAGTTTAGGTATTAGCATTTGGACTTTGGCCTCAGAAAACCTGTGTTCAAATTCTGACTATGTCTCTTACTAGCTGAACAATTTTCTTAACTCCTTCTTCATCCTTAAAATTTGTTTGTTTGCTTGCTTGCTTGCTTGCTTGCTTTTTGAGTCAGAGTCTCACTCTCTCACCCAGGCTGGGGTGCAGTGGCATGATCACAGCCACCACAACCTTGACTTTCTGTGCTTAGAAGATCCTTCTACTTCAGCCTTCCAAGTAGCTGGAACTACAGGCATGCACCACCACACCTGGCTAATTTATTTTATTTATTTTAGAAACGAGGTCTCATCAAGTTTCCCAGGCTTGTCTTTAACCCCTGGACTCCAGCAGTCCTCTCGCTTCTGCCTCTCAAAGTGTGGGGATTACAGTTGTGAGACATGGCACCTGGCCTCATCCTTAAAATAGAAAAAATAATAGTACCTAACTCACAGGGTAGTTGTGAGGATTAAATGAAATGATATAAAACTGTGCCTGGCCCCTGGTACATACTAAGTCCCAGTTAAAGTTGGTCTTGGTTACTAATTCTTTTTAAGTAGGAATGAGTGCTAGAAAGGACACTATGCAGACTTCTTCCTCCTGTTCCTCAGATTTTGAATTTCTCAGATACTCATTTTTCTAC